CTGTCCGGTAGAAAATTTATGGTTTTTGAGACTGATGCCAATTGACATCAAATTTTGGAAGGTGTTTTTGTCTTTGCGATAGAGGTCATTGTTCTGATTTACGTTGCGAAAAATAATACTTCCGTTATCTTCGTGCTGCTTCCGTGCGCACTGCTATAGGCCCGTTTGAAGCGCGCCAATCACTAGCGCTTTTGGATACACATGTACAGTACATGTACTGTATGGCCACGTTGACGGGTTTGTTTAACTGATTTCACAGGAAGTGAGTTTGAAGGTGAGAAATGTCATTGTCTTACCATCCAAAAAAAGTGAAATTAGAGAAATGACGGCAAGACGATAATGAGAGTTCCGTAGGCTTATGTCTCCCAGGAGTGTGGACTACACAGTGTAGGCTATTTTGCCCTTGGCTTTGTTGGTTTTACACTGTTTTGCGATGTGATAAAGTAGACCTATAATCCTATTTTTGAAATGGCGGACCCCACAATTAAGTGCTGGGCATGCAGTCTGGGATTTTAACGAGGTTAGGGTTAGGGTTTAGAAGGGGTGCCCCGTTCGGTGACCCTGAAAAACTTTTGACTCCCGTAACCTTTGACCTTGAAACTTTCCAGAAAACAGCACAACTCTTCATCTACCTTGCGTGGAAGTTTGAGGTCATAGGTCAAAGTGTCATGGAGTTATAGCTTTTTCCCCGAGATCACTGTTTTTTTTGGTGACTTTGAAAAATCACTGAAATGACTCGCTATCCAGGTTTGGATGCATTTTGCATCCGAAGCCACGGGCTATCTTTTGGGACCAAAACAATTTCTTATGTTTTTCTTTATTTTAAAAAAAAATTGACCGGAAGTGACGTCATAACTTTGGTGTTGTACGAGATACGAGGATGAAGTCTGAGAGAAAGTTGTTCGTCTTGATACTCTCTCGAATGGTGCCACTTTATATCCTGTGAGGTGTTCCCTTTAGGCTGGGAATATGGAGGAGGCATAGGGTACGTGTATTAATGCATAGGGCCTTAGCGCCAGTTTTTCGTATAAGGTTTGTACACAACCAATGGGGAAGACTTAAATTGGCTATAACTGNCGCTCCCCAACCTTGCCTAAATCAAACCAGAAATTTCTAAAGCACCTGTCTAATTGTTAGAACTATGCACACCTCTGGCCATCCCTAATGACAGGTGTTTGCTTTGTAGCCTAATACTCAACATTCGTGCCAACAGCAACAACCATACCAGTCTCTGGCTACAACCCACTCTAATCCAAACCATGGCAGAGGAGTTTACATGTACAGTATGTCCGACACCTCAGCTTAACCAGGTACTCAAGTGCAAGTAACATCTGCCAAATCACGCAAAAATCACAGCACACACGTCATGCTCTGCCTCTATCTCACTGGATCCCAACAACATGCGGACCCCTGACTTGCTGACCCATTCCAAATTTCCTGCCCTGCATGGAAAATGCAATGGGGTATTCAACCCCACATTTCCAGGCTACAACGGAGCCACTGGCCCCTTCAAGGTCTTCAAGGTATTAGCCTCAATGGACATTCCCACTAATTATTCTACAATGCACACGTAATCTCTGGTGCATCCTGGGAGGGACTTCTCCCTTGCATTTTCTATAAGAAACAAAAAAAGTTACTGCCAACTTCACGAGGATGGAGATGACTCCTTTTGCAATCAGGGGTGTGAGTGAAACATTAAAAGAATACCCAGTGGGCACACGACGCGTGAAAGACGTCTTTTTGTGGTCGTTATGTGGTCGTGTGTCGAAAAGTGGTCGTGACAAAAAAACGACGTCTTAAAGACGTCTTTTATCCTCGGTTAGAAACATTGCTTCAGCAACCATGACCACAAAAAAACATGACGTCTTTAAGACGTCGTTATGCAGTCGTTATCGAATCACCGGTACCACACATACAGTGAAAGGAGAAAACGACGTCTTAACGACGTCTTTTTTTCTCTCTGTTTGAATTGTTTTCTTCAACAAGCAATACATGAAACACACGACGTCTTTACGACGTCATTTTACAGTTGTTATCAAATCGTCAACATACAACAGAAAAAGATTTAGATAACTTTATGAAGATTTTGCACAGTGACTTTTGGTTTGTCTCGGATTTTGCCGGTTCTCACTCGGTTTCACCGCGGAAGGTCCGACAGAGCAATGGCATACAGTGTATTGCGAAATCCCAGTATCCCAGTATCCCACCTGCGGCC